TTCACAGGACTGTCATGAGTTCGTTGTTAATTTTTGGAGCTGATAGATGAAGGTTCCTTCGGTATTTCCTCAGTATTTCTCTGTCGTCCTATATTGACAGCAGTTTTGGACGACTTGATAATGGTAAATACTCGATGGAATTCTTTGTTCCATGCGTGTAATGACAAAATATATTGTCGATGGGAATCTATCAAACATTTCCTATATGTATTTAATTGATCGGCCTTGATTATACATATATAAATTAATTTTTTAATTTGAATTGATCAACTCTTTTTCTTTGAACATTTTAAGCGGGTTTACAACATAATTATGCAAATTTGCAAAAAATATAATGTTAAATATTCCATATAACCACTACCTGCATAATGGGTTAATTAATGGGCAATAAAACACGTGTTCAAGGATTCTAAAAAAGTTCTTAGAAAAAATTCGAATATTTTTGCGCAGTACCTGAAATGACCCTTTTTGGGTTTTTTCCATTTTCTTGGAAACCATTAATGAGTTTTTATTACTTTTTTCTTGTATTTCGTAAAAATAATATAAATAATTAAAATTTCATTAAACATTATTAAATACTATTATTAAATTCGAATATTTATGTGAGACACTGTATATTCGTAGGAAATTCTAGGTCCGTCCGTCTGTCTGTCTGTGTAAAACACGTTAAAACGAAGCAATAGAAATTCATGAAATTCACCCAAAACATTCTTTATTGTCCGGTACAGTAAAATCGGTTCAAAAAGTTATGAGTAAATATCTCAGACTACCTCGAAAAAAATAACGTTTTTTTTTTCAATTCTTAATCCATTAATGCCCACAGTTTCTGACGTCAGCTTATAGAGAAGTAATCAAAGTTCATTTTCTAATTGCTTACTTTTTTATGAAATCTGCCCCAAAAATAGTATTTTGTCAGAGGAATGGATTTTTAACCTAAGAAAAAATAATATATTTTCTTGAAATATAGATATTTGATGACAAGCAAATATTTTTAATGTAAATGTTTCTATTAAATCGTTCTTTCGTGGATATTTTAAATTTTCTGAGGATTTCTGTAAAGGATATGCCATTCGACCGCATTAAAAATTGCTCAAGGCACAGTTGGCGAATCTTAATAAAATATAAAAGTTTCAGAAGGGGATTATGAAAGGTTCTCAATCTCAAGTAAATCAACTTTTAGCTAAATAATCCACATTATTTCCATACAAATATCAAAATTTATAATTTTTTTTCTTGATGAACATATTAAAAGTCTGAAAAATTTCAAAGAAAAAATGAATATTTTATTAACAAAAACTAGAGGGTATATATAACTTTGTCATTCCGTGTGCAACACCAAGAAATATTCATCTGACACCCAACAAAGTATATATATTCTTGGTCCTTATGAAATTCTGAGTCGATTTATCTATGTCCGTCCGTCCGTCTATCTGTCTGTGTAAAACACGCTCACGTAAAAACGAAGTGTAATAAATTATTGAAATTTAGCCAGAATATTCCCAATTGTCCTAGGCAGTTGGGTATTGAAAATGAGCAAAATCGGTTTACATCGGGAAAATTTATGAATCAAAATTTAAAACAACTTCGAAAAAAATAAGCATATTTTACACATTCTGATGCAATTTTCACTAAAACTATGCAATATAATTCCATAAAAATCATCATACATTTGTTTTTACATGAGAACTTTATTCCTGTTGAAAATTGCCGGAATCGGTCCACAATTTCTTATACCTCCTATACGAAAGTACATATTCCCGGAAAATGAGTTTATTGTTAATAACTTCCCTCAGAATGTTGATATCTTAACAAAATTTTACAAATTAAAATTCCATGTCAATAGAATTCATATAGAGACAAAATTTTCTAGATCGGTCCATAATTGGACATAGCTCCCATACAACGTCCTCTCCCGAAAATCACTTAAACACGCATAACTCATTACTAAATTAAGATATCCATATAGAATTTGGTACAAGTATTGCTCTTATATACAGAAATGTTACTGTGAAATTTATTTCCGATCGGTCCATAATTGGTCATAGCTCCCATACAAGGTCCCCTCCCGAAATTCACTTAAACGCACATAACTCATTACCTAATTAAGATATCCATATAAAATTTGGTACTAGTATTGCTCTTATATACAAAAATTTTACTGTGAAAGTAAAGTAAAACGATTAAAATCGGATAACTGGTTATAAAATATACGATGTCAAATTTAATGTTTGTTAAAAAAGTCCTAAAAAATATGAACTTTGAACCTCGATAAAGTCTAAACCGTAACGAATTTAGAAATTTCGGAAAGGGTTATGTCCAAAATCCAAAATTTTTGTTCGAAATTTTTTGAAATTACATTTTATTTACAATAGCCCAATTCACGATCTGGTGTATTTTTGCAATTGTAAATATTTGCTATTAACTGTGAATGATTTTGTTTCGCTTTTATTTATAACACTTGTAGGGGCGCTTGTAATAGAAAACAATGATTATTATGAATTTTTATTTCAAAATTGTAATTTTGTTGAACATCAATTTTATTGAGAAGAGTTTCATTTGAATTTAACGGTTTTTGGAGATTTGGTTTCAAATGACACTTCAATTTGTTGACAGCTTGTATTAACTGATAATGCAGTGCTGTTGTCAAAAGATAAAAGGAAGACATTTTCGATATATATTTTGTATGTGTTAGTTTTTGCTGAAAAAACATTAGATTTCCAAATTTTTCAAAATTTTTCTCTCAAATATTGGGTATAAAAAGGAAGCCATTGCCCAAAATCTTTCCTTTTTGTCTGCTGCTAGCTACCAGTTTTCTTTAAAAAAACGTCGTTACTCTGCCGGAAATTTTATTTTAAAAAATTTAAGTCCTTTTGAAATTGTAAGTTTTTTATCCTGTTTTAATTATCCTTCGAATTAAATTCAGTGTTAAACAATGTGCATTTTTTTATACCCTCCACCACCATCAGTGGTGATAGAGGGTATATATAAGTTTGTCGTTCCGTGTGTAATACCAAGAAATATACATCTAAGACCCAACAAAGTATATATATTCTGGGTCCTTATGAAATTCTGAGTCGATTTAGCTATGTCCGTCTGTCTGTGTAAAACACGCTCACGTTAAAACTACGTAAAGGAAATCAACCAAACTCACCCAAAATATTTACTATTACCCTAAGCAGTTTGGTATTGAAAATCAGCAAAATCGGTTCACAACGTAAGAAGTTATGAGAAATTACGTTTTTTTCCCAATTCTTTTGAAGTTTTCTCAGAAACTACCAAAGATATTGCGATGAATTTTGTCACACTTTATTTTTTTAGGGCAGTGATCAATTATGTTCAAAATCTTTACAATTGATCCAATATTTCCCATAGCCCCATACAAAGGTACCTATTCCCGGAAATTAGTTTATCGTTAATAACTCAATCAAATATATCGGTATCAACACCAAATTTTGTACATACAAATATAATATGAAAAGAAATCATACTATCAACGTAGATCTCAGTCGATCCACAATTGGTCATAGCTCCCATATAAGGTCCACTTCCAAAAATCACTTTAACGCACATATTTCATTGATGAATAAAGCTATTATGATAAAATTCGGGCTGGATATGTTTTGTGTACATACAAATCATTCTACCATTTTTTGCGGATCGGTCCATTATTGGTCATAGCTCCCATATAAGGTCCACTTCCGAAAATCACACGCATATATTTCATTGAATTCTTAAGCTATAGGAATAAAATTGGACTTGAATAAGTCTTGTGTACATACAAATCATTTTACCACTTTTTTCTCGGATCGGTCCATTATTAATCATAGCTCCCATATAAGGTCCACTTCTGAGAATAACTTAAACGCACATATTTCATTGTCAAATAAAGTTATCTTGAGAAAATTCGACACTTATATGTTTTGTCTTTACATAAATCACTCTACGAAATTTTTTCGGGATAGGCCCTTAATTGCTCATAGCTCCTATATAAAGTCCACTTCCTAAAATCACCTAAACGCACCTATTGGAGTAAAATTATACTTCATCTTTTTCTGCATTATACGAAATTGTTTCCTGATCGGTGCATAATTGGTCACAACTCCCTTATAAGGACCATTTCTGAAAATTACTTGAACGCACATTTTATACATACGTATACAATTTTTTCTGAATCGGTCCGTATTTGGTCACAACTCCCATATAAGGGCCATTTCTGAAAATTACTTAAACGCACATTTTATACACATTTAGGTATAAAATTTGACGTAAATGTGTATTTTGTATATATGTATATAAATCATTCTACGGAAATAAGGTTAATTTTTGAAAATCACTTAATACCACTTAATTCGTTATTAAATTATTATATCCGGATAAAAATCGACATAAGTTCTGTGTATAGATAAATAATTCTAAATTTTTCCTGACCTAATCAAAATTAGTTCGACAAAAATTTTGGCGAGTTATCTAAAAAATAGATAGTTAGATGGGTTTCAATAAAAAGTAGCTTGCTAGTGGAGGGTATTTAAGATTCGGCATAGCCGAATATAGCACTCTAACTTGTTACTTTTAAATAAATTTGGCTGAACTTGTTTGCCTTTTGTGAAAGAATCTTTTGGATTTTATATACTCACAATTATCTAAAACAGGATAATAAAGGAATGTAAGTTTTGTTTTCTAAAGGAAAACATAAAAAAATCCAACACTAAGAAAAATTCAATTTTTCAAATCCGTTTCTTTGATTTTATTTTCTAATTTTTTCGCAGTAACGCCAATTTCAAAATTTTAATTCAAAAGTAGGCAGAAAGTGTTTTTTATTTATTTACGCAGCGGCAACAAAAGTCAAAGAAAAAGAATATCGTTTGTTTTATACAAAAAGGTAATAATTAACATAAAGAAAACAAAAGACACACATACAAATTAACATAACCAAAACCTAAATATCTTTACAGCACACAAACACGCCACACATGTCAATTTGATTTATTTGACGAAATTTTTCCTAGCGACGATACCTCCAGGCACAAAATCTTCGCCTGGGAAGGCTTCATCCACATTCGTGCCTTCTTCGGCGTAAAACCAAACCTTCAGGGGAAGATTTATGTCTCAGTATTAAGGTCATAGAGACGAGGAGAAAAGTGTGAAAAGTGCGGGGAAAATGTCAATTGTTTAAAGGAAAAATCCAAAAGAAAACTCCAAAGTTAGTAATTTTATAATAAAAATCAGAAAATAATCTGTGTGAAAGTTCGCGAAAACTATTTTTGAAAATTTCATAAAAAGTTTCACAAACATTTTTAATTTAATTTAGAAAAAGAAAAATTTAAAAACTAAGTAAACACCAAAAATCTTAAAGAATCAACAAGAAAGAAAACCAAAAAGAAACAAAGTTTAAATATTAATCTTTACTAGAGTTCGCCCCGCGGCCGAAATTCGACCGGAACCATTGAAGTAATGATTGCATACTTATACTGCAAAATAAAACCCAACTTTTATAGTCCAAATGTCTGAAAAAATTTATTTCAATTGCTATTATCAAAGCGAGTAACTTGCTTTGATCAACGTATTCTTTTAGAAAATGTGATCAAATTTGGTTAAAATTCTGAAGGAAGTTTAAAATCTAAGTTCTAAAACTATTAATGCAACATATTTTTCAAAAATGTTTGACCTTTTTTAAAAGCAAAAACAACGAACATTTCTCCTTTCGATTTATTATCCCCTACATAAATGTTCATAAAATCTATGCAAAACTTACAATATGATATATTCATTCCTTACAATATGATATTTCCCTATGTTTAACAATCTGCCAATTCCTCCAGCAATCAATCATGTCATTCTCAAGAATTAATTTTTATAATATATTTTTTATAGTTATTTGAAAGTGAAATTGTAATTCTTTACTTTACTCTTGTTAAGAGGAATTAGAAAAGTACAAACTCCTAAAAATATTTTCAATAGTGTTACAGCTCTATTGAATTCGAAAAATTATGAAACTATCCAAATTTGTTTTTAGTTTTCTTTAGCTGACAGATAACAAAAACAAAAATAGATTAAAATTCTCAAGAGCGCACAGAATCCAAACCTATTACGTTTTTTTCAAAACTGGACATAGATTTTAATAACCAAAATTCAACATATCTTCTGTGTTTTCATCTATTGTATTTCCGCAGAAGGTAGACTTGAAGTAGTCCTTCAAAAGTACATTGCAAAATATGATCTAACAAAATTTTATTCAAAATTCAATTTTTCAATTATTGCTATCAGGACTGTAAAATGATTTCATTTCGATCAAAAGTGGAATTATTTCCGTGTTTTGGTTTTTTGAATAAAGTAAAAAGATCTTTTTTTGGAATGAAACCACTTTCAATTTTTAAAGTGGGATGTTTTAATTTTTTTTTTTAAGTTTTAATAAATATCTTTACTAAAATAACTCCATTTTAGATCGGAATGGGCATTTGGAACAGGGGTATATATAGTATATATTATCTCTATAAGAAATAAATAAATTTTGCTGTCTTTAGTATAAAAAGTCCATCCTTCAGGTTTATGTTGAATAAATTCTCCTTTATAACACTCGATAAAGACTTCTTTCAGCTGACTTACTACTTATTTGGCTTAAATTTAAATGTTTTTTAATAGAATTTAATAGTAGACGTTAACAAACTATAAATTCCATCCTTAATTAACATATGTAAGTTTAATTGCAAGTAAAAGAATAATAAACGATAAATTGCTAAAGGTAGTATTAGACGACATGTATTTTACTCTAATACCACCTTAAGTAGGGGCAGCCATCAACCCAGAAGACATGATTTGTATTTGACCTATTTCAACATTTTTCTATTTTTATAAAACATATAATAACCATCGCCTACACAAACTACAGTTTTCACCTTACACTACTATTTCTATAACCGCCTTTTTCCTAATTGGTAAGAATAACCCAAAAAAGAAGAATATCATCAAATCCTCACTGTGCTAAACCTACGTATTTGCGATATACTGATTCATTCATGTACCGACATGACCAACTAAACTATCCTACTTACATATATTTTAACAGGCTTTGTTTTCGTCCATCATTAAAATCTTAAAAATCAATAAAAACTAACATTTATGTAGAATTGTTGTCCCACCAATGTTTTCCCATCATCCTCTTGTATCTTACTTCATTAATATAATAACATATCATTATTACATTAAAAATTTATCACTTTACACTTTTAAAAAATAAAAAACAATAAAATCATATTCTCGCTTTGTCTAAGCCTGTCTGTATACTTATTAGTTTACAAAAATCTTATTAAAAACAACAACAAAAAATATCATTGCAATTTGCAAAATACAAAAATAAACCATCAACAGAGAAGTAACCAGTGTTGCCAACATTGGTAAAGCAAAACGCGCGCAAAAAAATTAAAAAGGGGTAAAAAAGCGTAATTTTCTAACTGAAAATGGGTAAAAAAGCACTAACGTTTTTTAGTCAAATATTGTTTATTTTAATAAAAATTGCACATTATTTCGCTCATTTCCTACAAGACTCCAAAATTCGTTTTTTAGAACATTGACTACAAAACAAAACATGCGTCATACTAAAGTCTTTCATCTGTGTGAGTTAGATTTTTAGTAACGTAAGAACTAAAACTAATGTTTGACGAATATTAGATAAATAAGATGAGAAATTTTCAAATTCCTTGATTTGTTTAAAAGTTATTTTAAAAATAGTAAAATGTCATTAAACATTCAAACTGACAGGCACACTACCAACTGGCGAACCGATGTAACCACACCCAAATTGTAAAATTGTGTGAAATATATTTTTTTTGCAAAATCTATATATATTATTTTTAAGTTTATATATCGATACCCATAAAATTTTGTACATAGATTTTGTTTTGTTGGTCAGTTATATCGTCATAAAATTCGGAATAAAGAATTATAATAAAAATCTTTTTATTGCGAGTACAACGATGAAGTAATCATGGAGGCTTTATATATTAGGGATAGGTTCAATTGTGTAAAAAAATTGTATAAAACTTATTTTTTGTCAATTTTCATCGCTGTACTCATATTTTTAAGGGGACCTTAATAGGGGGTAGGCTAGGTTACCGAAAAATCCGAATTAAATTCGGTAGGAAGATTACGTTTGTATAAAAGTTGTTTATTTCGAATTTCTCCGCTATACTCGTATTTTTAAGTCAGTAAAGAGCGTTAAAATCAATTTTTGAAGGTGACCATATGTGGGGGTAGGGTCAATTATGGACCGATTGCCGTAAAATTTGCTAGAGAGATTTTGACGCATATAAAACTTATTTATGCCAAATTTTATCGCTATACTCGTATGTTTAAAACAGTTGTGACTGTTAAAGCTGTTTTTCGGGGGGTCACTTGTATGGGGGATATGCGAAATTGCGGACCCATATTGCCCATTTGCCATACCAAACAAACCTTACCTATAAGAAATATTTGTGGAAAAATTTAACTCGCTTGCTCTTTCCGATCTAACCCTATCGTGCTTTCAACAGACGGATGGACATGGTTAGATCGGCTTAGAATTTAATAAGGACCCAAAATATATATACTTTTGTGGGTCTACGACCAATATTTCGATGTGTTACAAACGGAGTGACAAAATCAATATACCCCACTCATCTTTTTTGATGGTGGGTATAAAAAGCACTAAATGCACTGTCATAAAATTAGAAAGCACCACTGTAGTGCCTTTTTGAAAAAAGGCACCATGAGCAAAATTTTCCGCGTTTGGCACACCAAAAGGCACCGCAAATAGTGCTAAAAGCACTAAGTTGGCAACACTGGAAGTAACATATTTTTACACTCTCCTCTCTTTATTTCTACAATGAAAAAAAAGCAGTGTTGTTGTTTTGCTTTCTTATTTTGTTTTCTATTTTTTAATTCAAGCACATGTTTGTGTGATTGTGTATTGGTAGAAACTTTAAACGCTTATATTTCCGAAAATACTGAACCGATTTTGATCATACATAGATTCTGCAGTGAGACTCGCGAATCTGCATTCATAAAAAAAAGAATTAAGAAAATCGGTCAAGTAATAGAGCCGGAATATGTTCCCAATCGTTTTGGCTTTGCGTATTTATATATACTAGAGTTCGCCCAGCGGTCTGGTCGATATTCGACCAGAACCAATGCTGTAAAAATTGCATAAATAAGCTAAAATAAAACCTTATTTTTGTAGTTCAAATCTGTGGTAAAAAATTAACTTTATTGATATTATCAAAGTGTATAATTTGCTACACATTTACGCATCGTTCACATTGCTGGAGTACTCTACTGTAGAGTGTACACAACAGTAAAAAAATGTTAGCTGTTCAAAATACAGAATTGAAATGTTCTAAAGAATTTGTCAAAACAATAAAAATATTTTAAAATAAATAATGTCTTATCTAATTATAAATAAATTTTATTTGGATGTCATTAGTAGTCCATCCATCAGATATATGCTGTATAAATTCTCCCTTATAACTCTCGACTTCAGCACGAAGACTTCAGCAGACACACATTTATTCAATTTTAATGTCTTCTAATAAAATTAAATAGTAGATATTCTATGAGGCCTTCTAATGGGCCTTTTATTAGCCTTCATATAGAAGCGCATAACGATATGCATTTTATTTCTTACTCACACTGAATCAATTCGTTAATCCATCATTTAAATCTTCCAAATCAATCAAAACTAATAATTATGTATCACAATTCAGTATTTTTTTTAACTACAACATTTTGTCGTTAAATAGTAAAAATTCTTAAGTTAACAATAATTGTCGTTGTGTGGTATGTATTCTGAATTTCATTTCACCGATTTTTTTTCGTTAAACATAATCGAAAAAATAAATAAAAAGTTCACGTTAATAATTTTATATTTTAAAAATATTTCAATACATAACTTTTGACATTCTTATATTTTTCCGATATTTGTCTTTAAAATATTCTACGGTCGTAAAAAAGTTACGGAATTGAAAATTCGTTAATGTAACTGATTTGTCATTACTTTACGATATCAATACTTAAAATGAAAAAAAAAAAAAAAATTACTGTATTCCGGTACTGATGTCCTACCAATAATTTTCCAGGTCAAACACCAATATCATTACATTGTTCGGCATATCGTTAGGTGTCCCCAAGCATTATTTACACATGTTTTCATATTCCCAGTTCGTTGTTTCC